AGCCACGATCAGCTAGAAATTCAGTTTGCCTGAGCTTGTATCATTGGTACCTTCACAGACCTCCTTCCTGAAATTCTTGTAGAGCATGTCGGCATACGGTGTCGAAACATCCAGGACACAGGCGCCCTTTGGTAGGTTGCAGGCAGCCCAGTATGATTAGCCTGTGAAAGCGGGCGATGGCGACGGTGAGCATGGGCAGAAGGCCGCTGGGCGCTGCCCTCTGATTGGTGGAGCGGACAGACCATTGCGTGCCCGCACAAGCAGCACGTTCTGAATTACAACCGCTGTGGGCACCCTGTGGCCTTCTGTCCACGTATATGAAACACCAAGAACCCTGCAAAATGCGAAGGTCGTGAAGGTGGAGGAGCTCGTGCGTTGGGTCGGATGAGGTACATTCTCATTCGTACTCCGCCCACTGGCCGCTACTCTCACTGACACTTGAAGATCTCATGCCAGCCTTGAAACTTCGTACACCTGTGTTAAGCCACATGCAATCTGCCTTCATTGTAGTCATTGTCAAGTTAAGCAGGTAGTACACGTACACAGTCTTAGTAGAAGTATACAAATACAATTTGTAGCTGTTTTATATGAGTGTGATTGAGCCAATATGTCCATCTTACCCATAAGCATGCCGCATTGAGCTTGTCTTGGTTGACTGTCTTGAGAGTCTTGGCCAAGACCAGGCGTCTTCCCAAGACAAACGACATAGCTTGGCTAACACCGGATGTCTTGGGGTCTTGGGCGTCTTGAGCATGTTATCCAAGACGCTCAAGACGCTCCCCAAGAGCTGGCGGTTTTGCTGATGTACGCTCTCAATCAATGGCCTTTCAATAGGTCGCAAGATGAGAATAAGGGCGCGGCCGACTGGCGGAAGGAACTCGGACACCATCCTGATGCAGCATGCATGCTTGTGTCCTTGCGGTAAGTCTCTTCGCAAATGATTATTATTCGGGCCTGTCATTTCGCTGCCTTACAGATGCTTTCAATCAAGATCTTCTCGATTGCTGTAAATTCGATGGCTGACGAGCGTACCATGTCGACCTTCACTTGGATGAACTCGGCACTTTGAAACAAGCAGCAAGTCGGAACGTTGGTCGATATGGTCCAAGTCCGCCAGTGGGAGCTACATCAGGTACGCCACAATTACCAAAAGCACAGCGACTCTATTGACGTGCGGGAAGCTTGAAGAAAAGCCCCTCACGCATCCGACTGTCCGCTGGGTTGATATGCAAGAGGTCATTCGCGGTCGACAGAAGACAGTGAGGGAGAGTACAGTCAGCAAGGACGACTCAGGCGACGAGTTATACATTGATGACGAGGACGATACCGAGGAGGTTGTCGTGGGCGTAGCCCCGGCCTCCTATTTTATTCCCATTTTCTCCGATTTATTCCACGTTTGTACGACCCTCCAAACGTCGTCGGCGCATTAGCGCCAGTTTACAAGTCCTAGCCGTGCGCTAACATCAGAGAACGCATCACCGACAGGCACGCATCAGCGCATCAAACGCGCCTACATCGCCGCCGCCTCGTCGCCGCATCACGCTTCTTCGGTAACAGCCGCACTCCGATCTCCATCGGACATCCGATCCCCGTCGGCCCAACAACGTCATCAGACAGGACACACCGGCCCCGTCTATCCCCGAGTCCGATCGGCAACGGACACCCTATCCCCGTCGGCCCGACAACGTCATCAGATATGACAAGCCGGCCCTCGTTTCTCCGCCTAAAGTCCCCTAGACACTAGCAGTCGCCGTAGCACCAGCCGCTTATGTAATACCTGGTCCGTGCGCAGCCTGACTAGTATATAAAGGGTCCCCTTGTCGCTACCTAGCCCCATCTCAACCTCT